ATCTTCCTGAAATGGCCATGCCATTTCTGCTCCGGTTCTATAAGGGAAATCTGGAAAGAGCGCTCAATCCCTACTGTATGGCTAGAAGCCATCATTATCCCAGTTCCCAAAGAAGAGAAAGATTGATCATTGCCATCAAACTATCTACCTACTTCTCTTACAAAATGTGTATGCAAAGTGGTGGAACGCATGGAGAATCTGCATTCGGTGTGGACCTTGGAGGGTAAAAATCTGTTGATGCCAATCCAATGCGGGTGTAGAAGAAACCGGTCAACCTTAACCACCTCATTGGGTTCGCATCAGCAATCTCTACATCGTCAGTAGGCAACGTCTTGAGGCCAAATAATTTTACATTGAAAAGTCCTACGACACCTCTTAGAGATACGACAAACTGCGAACTCTGCACTCTGCGCATTTAGTGGAAAGCTCCTTCTATTCCTCCAAAACATATTTTCGAACAGATATTTTCGTGTTCGCGTTGCTGACAGTATTTTTAGCAGTTGCCCTCTAGAAAATGGTATCCGTCAAGGATCGGTTCTGAATGTCACTCTCCCATTGCCATAAATGGTATAGTGTCGATTCCGAGAACCTGTAGAGGCATCGTCGTTGGTGGATGATTTTGTCATGTCGTTCGTCCAGCAGCATCAGTGTGATCCAGAGGCAACTTCACCTGGTGTTCAACAAGTTCCACGAATGGAACAGGAACACGTCAAATGGGTTTAACTTTTCTACCACTAAATCTATTGATGTGCATTTCTACGTTGTGTGCATTCGCTGAATCTTCCAGGTTTGACATGCCCCTCACGCGAGGTGTTCATATCCGTAGACTGCAAACCAGATGTGCCTCCCCCTTCAATCATCTTCGTATGCTCAATGGTACATATAGGGGGTCGATCGCATTTGCCTATTTCGTCACAATAGAGCACTCGTCCGGTCAGTTCTTGATTACGGTAGAGAAGTTTCAAAATCTGCACATCCCTCCACTTTCCAACACATCAACAGCATACACTATCCTGGTATTCACCTCTCAATAGGTGTGTATACCCATATATATTCTTAAAAAGAAGGCCGGCTGTTAGCGTCTTATGGTACAAAAGTATCGGGACTTCTTACCTATCCTTGTCGAATAATTATCCAAATTGAATATGACACCTCATATTCTTCGAACATCGCTACTTCAACTCCAGGTATTCGATTGCGAAATCTTTTACGGGACCTGAAAGTAGGTCTTCCTACCCCTGTGAAACTCATAGACCCACTCCCCCTTGGAAACTCTTCCACCTCAACGTTGACCTCAGGCTCTTCGATCTTCCCAAACCAACTACTAGTCCTGTTTACCAGATGCAGTTACAGGAAATGAGGAAAGCCTATCCGAATCATAATTTTGTACATGGTTCTTCGATTAATGACTCAGTGTTATGTAGTTTATATTGTATCGGGGTCACGAAATTATATCGGCTTCATTCCCAGTGCAATATATTCGCTGCTGAATTGCAATTCTCGAAGCCCTAAAATACATCTAGTCAGCAACACTGCGACTAGTTCTCTGTATGATTCTCTCAGCAGTCTTCAAACTAACTCCCCTTCTTCCTCGGACTAGCTGACGAAATCAGTTCAAAACCTGAATCAACGTCTTCTGTCTCGCCATAATCAGATTCTCAGTTGGGTCTCAGGCCACGGGGGAGCATAGGGAACAAGATGGCTGACCGGGTAGCGAAACCGGCATCACGTAAGACTCAAATTGACGTTCCTTCTGTACCATCGTCGGATATTAATACTTTCTTGAAACGATATTTAGAGCGTGGAAAACAGGCACAATATCATATAAACATAGTGTGATAAAGAATTCTGTTATTACCTGGCGGTTCTCATCCCGAACTTTTAGGCATGACGTCATTTTAACCCGTCTTCGCGTCGGTCACTGCAATTTTTCTAATGGTTCCCTCCTTTGAGGTGAATCTCCTTCCATTTGCGACTCGTGCAGTTCTTTCTGTGGAACACGTCCTCCCAAATTGTTAAATTGTTTGAAATTTCTTGGCAGCCGACGACATGGCCTGGGCAACGTCTTACGGAAGGTGCTCAGGGCTGGCGATTCCGCGATTCCGCGCTTTTCTGTTTTTTAATTTATTTTTATTTTTATAATTTTATTTTATCGGAATTTATAATTTATATATATATATATATAATTTTATTTGAGAGATTAGGACAATATTATGTCACTCTTGCATAAGGTAATGATACTGTCGTTTTGGATGTATTTATAATGCGGTATATTGGATGGCTTTTAGTTCTGGATGTTAATTTTTGTTTGAAATTATCCCTGCCTGTCTATAATATGCTGCAAATAAATATGAAAGTGTGTGCTGTTTAGCACAACTAGTTTATGTATTATTTAATTTGTGAGCACTAGTACATCAGTTTACTTTATGAAATTTCTCGGAAAATGAACTTCTTTGGTACCTTCTTTGGTTCAATTACCTCAAAAGTGCGTTTTTTCACAAACGATGAAACATTTTCTAAATTAGTGTTGCTAAAACATCACATACTTTTTCGCCCCCCTATAGTAACGGTTATATAGTAATATACCGCATTTCTGTCTCTATCAACACATCTCAGTCAACGAGCGCTGCCAACAAAGCTCGCATGCAGCGATGGGCGCTGCCAAGAATTGGCACATATTTTCTTAGCAATTCTTCCTAAAAGCGCCATTTTTGCCATAAATGGAACTATTTTTCAGTTTGCATTGTTGTGGTCTTATGAAAGTTCTTCTGTGGCGTTCTTTATGGAACACTATTGCTTGTTTCGAATACATACAATTATTTTTCGCCATGTCTTAAAGATATGTTAAGTTCAATCTTAAATGTTTTTTTTCTTTTAAATGACTTACAACCAAACAAAAACCATAATTAGTCTCTTCATAATTCATTAAGAAATTAAACAGTTATAGATGTCCTGGAGAGCACTAAAACAGAAAGCCCGCTAAAACGTTTTGTATTTGCTGCCAAGTTCATACGTCTGTTTTTTGAAAAACAAAAAACAAAAAAACACACACATAAAAATATATCAAAAATGAACACTTACAGAGCTAATTTTGTACTGCAGACTGTCTGAGCCAAAAATTTATATCTTTAATTTTGTAGTTAAATTTTTTTAATATAAAAAAAATCGAGCGATATCCTAAAATTGGACTAGCATAATATATTTTACCGTCTCTTATTGCATATATGAAGAAAATTTGAAGAAAAAATATGGAACGGATTTTGAGAAAATAAATTTCATACATTTCAATCGCAAATAACGCAAAACTACTAGTTAAAAAAAAAGGTTCATGAATACCTAATTACGTCCAACAGGATGTATCTGAGACAAAAATATCTTTCTGCAATTTTGAAGTTTTAAAATTTTTTCAATTTTCGAAAAATCGGGTATGTCAACGAAAATGAGATCTACACCATTCTCTTAAATGATTTTTGCACTATTCAACTACAAAATTTAATCAAAATATTTGACGCTATTAGTTTTTGAAAATATCCCAGGGGGTTTATGTAAATTATCCCCCCCCCACTTTAAAACATCGGTTTCAAAATCCAGGGGCCGCTACATCCGCCAGAACAATTGGGGATAATCAATTTTTGGAGAAAATCGGCTGAACATACCCAGTTTAAGCCTGTTGTACAAAATAGATGTTCACGTACTTTTTTTTAACGAGTAGTTTTTGCGATATTTGCGATTGAAATGTACGAAATCTCAAAAACCGTTCCATATTTTTTCTTTAAATGTTCTTCACTTATGTAATGAGAGACGGTAAAATATGCAGCGCTAGTCCAATTTTCGGGTATCGCTCGATTTTTTATAGATTAAAAAAAAAAAAATTAAAGATAGAAGTGATGCGCTAGCGTTGTGAACGGACGGACGGACGGACGGACGTACATACTGACATTTTGCCGTCAGTCGGTTTCTCGGTATGAATGACGCACAAAACGTGGATTCTGGCTACACCATGTGTTAGAGGAATTTTTTCCCTATACGTAGCATTTGAATTTATCCATTTCTTCGTTACCAGAGCCTGACAATAAGAGTTTTTGTGTCGAAAATTCGCCGTTTCCCACCGCACAATTACAATTTGTACTCTTCTTACGTTATAGTAAGTGCGAGAAAGTGAAAATGGCTCCAATTTTTGTCTTGAAACTTTTTGCATGGAATAACGTAACGGAATAACGCCATTTAATGTATTTATTTGACCGTAATATGGGCAATGCTATTTTTTTTTACATCTCTCACGTCATTAAAAGTTATATTACAGTATTTCTTTATACTTTGTTGGATTTATTAGTGCAAGTGCTTGTTGTTAGTTTTTATGAAATTTCGCGGAAACTCAAGCGTTCTTTGAAAATTTGCTCTAAATTACTCATTTTCAGAAACACTGGATCGAAAGTTTTTCAAAAACGGCTCGAAATTTTCGATGGAAAATTGCATAGACACTATGTTGTTCTGATTTATAATGTTCTAAACGTCAGATTTCAGTTACACCATTATAGGATTTTAAAAACTGATAAAATGTGAAAAACTTCTTTAAATTTTAAAAGAATGCTAAATAGTTAATAAGTAGACCTACATAAGTAGTGAATTATTAAATCTCAATCATTAAAATTAGTTTGAAAATAAAATCTTGTGTGATGAGCAGTAACTGTTTTTTGTCGCTGGTTGGGGCAAAACCGAAATGGTAGCCAAGACTAAAGAGCTAAAATACGAGGAAGTCTGTGCTATTATGTCGCACTACTAGTTATATTATTATGATTTTAAATTATTTGATGTACGTGCTAACGACCATATGAAGCTGTTGTAGCTCACTTTCATCCTCAACCAATTAAACCAACATAGAGATTTTAAAGAGTATTATTTGTTTTTACAGAAAGGCTGGTATTAGGAAAACATTTTTATTAAGTCATCCTTAAAATCTTCGAAACATCTTTAATAAATTTTTCTTTTTGTTCTGACAGGTGTGCACATTGACAGAGTTTCTACTTGACTCAGTATCTCTTGAAGCATATGTTGAAACTCCAGGTGAACATTTGCCTGGATTATTCTTGTATATTGTGACCCAGTTGACTGAAGGTTGTGGCAGTATCTCACCTTCTGAAGTGGCTCGTGCATTGCAGTTATGTGCCAAAATTCTCACTAGGTATGTATGTGTTGAGCATTTATACAGTCAGATAAGTCTGGGCATGTTTGGGTTAATGCACTGAAAAATGTAGTGACTTTTTTTCCAAATATTTGGTTAGGTTGTATCAGAGCAAACCTGATGCGGGGGCGGGGACTAATGTTGTAATGACTAGGTTCGATCCTTGCTAATGCCTATGGAATTTGTGGGCTTGATTGTTTAATGATTCCGGGCAGGTCAACTATCAAGGTCATTAGTCCCATAAGTGTTGTGCATGTTTTTCTCGGGAGGTGGCGGTGATCTTTCCTTCACCTCCCGGCGAGATCCGGCGCCGACCTACCGTCAGCTATTGGGGGTTTCCCCAACCAGGTATCTCCCACCAGCAGGGCACCACCCCAATGACAATGGCAAGCTCTTAGCTGGCGACCGGTCTCCCGGTATGTTTGCTGTAATGTTCCCCCAATGACAAGTACGTGTTAGTGTAAGTGTGTGTGTAAGGGGACAGGATTGGGCAAGGAAGAGGGAGGAAAGATCGCGCGCGTTCCGTGGCCCGTTTGTTAGGGTACTGCTCCGGCATTCGCCTGGTGTTCATCGGAGAAACCACGAAAACTACCGATCAGAGCAGCCAGTCGCTAGAATTCTCTTCCAGATAGTGACTAAATTCGACCTAGATAACAAGCTAGTGTCGAAAATCTTGCCACCGTCGGGACTTGAACGTTGTCAGAGGGACTGCAGTGGCATCCATTGATGCCCCGAGCCATCTCTCCGGCGAATTTGGGCCAGAACATCTCATTGGTGTGTCAGAAACGGAAACCTTTTTTCAAGGCGAAATTACAAGTTTGCTAAAACTGTTAAAATTGTCAGAAAAATTGAAAATTTTAAAAAGGTAAGTCATCGGATTTGAAAATTTTAATGTGGCAAGGGTAATTATTTAAATCATTTTAACGACATCTTATTAAATAAACCAGAGATATCAAAGGAAATTTTGATGAAATCGGCTATTGCTTTGGGCATTGCACATTTTGAGTCTGACTTTACATACGCTAGAATTCGCAATAAAAACATGACGATTATGACGAGGAATGGTTTAATAAGTTTGTAGAAAAAGAGGAAAAACGGGAAATTTTAAGAATAGCAGTGAGAGAGAGAGGGAATGTTACTAGAAAAGTAATTAGAATAGGCAAAGATTAATGCAAATAGAATTAGCGAAGGTATAAGATGAAGTATTAAATTGGCGAATTCAAAAATAAGTGTTTGAGTATGAAACAACATTTTCAGAATGTTAAACTTAATTGAATGCGAAATTTGAAAGCATTCGAACCAGAAAGTAATGATACAATTGTATGTAAACATTTAGAAATATTTGCAAGAGCAGACAATTTGAATTGCAAACATTGAGAACGATATTTAATGTCTTAATCGCCAATAGCAGAAACAGAATATTCGTGAGCAGAAAGATAATGAAATAAATTTCGATCAGGTAGATTAGTTATTGAAAGGGAAATTCAAACCAATATCTGAGAAATTAAGGCAATTTTATTTGCTACGTAAAATCCCGATAACTCAGGAACAGATTTAGCGTACGGTTTAAAGGTTAATTTAGATAGTTGCCCCTCCTTTCACTCCCGAAAGTTGTAGAAGATTCCAAGATTGTGATAAAATGGCTCGCCATTGACTTCAGGTTATTGCGTTGCAGAAGAATTTCGGCCAATCGCCGACCACGTGTTAGGCGATCCGAATGGAAAGACTTTCCTTTATCACTTTTCATTTATAAAAGTAACGTGCAGTGCTGTGCGTCGCTACGTCTGTGGCCCAGGATTTGCCAAAACTTAAAGTTAATGATTATTATAATGGGTGGGCGAGTACGTGAGGGTGGGCCGGTGGTTTACCGGCGAGCGAGCACTTAACAGATCATAAACAAGGAGTATGGGGTCCCAAATCGCTCCGTGCTGCCCCGGCTGCAGTCGGGGACAAAGAAATGATTCAGCGGAGGGTGTGACTAATCGGGACCTCTTGGTGCTGAACGTGACCAGACCCAGACCCTTGCGTCCGTCGGTTCTACGTCGCATTTTGTAAGAAATAAGTTGGAAGTTTAATAATTATTTCATCATCAAAATTTGGTGACACCGTAATACGGAGCTTGTTCAGCAGTACCGTAGTTTTCCCTACAAAAGCAGCATGGATTTGTTCCGAAAAGGTCAGTCACTTGCAAACTTCTGTAGTGTATTGGAAAATGGAGTATTCATGACCAGGGATTACGAATTGATATGGATTAACCTCGAAAGATTTCACCCGTCGATGTGGGACGGTCCACGTCCTGACAGGGGATGTTGAGAGAGATCTCGTGTATTCCTTTCTTTCACCAGTCATCTTTCTTTTCCCCCATTGTTAATTCCCGTTCTTTGATTACGTCCTGTATATTTTCTTCTTTCCCTTCTATTTCACAGTCCCTTCCCTGTACGCTGAACGCACACCTGTGTCTGCCGTGCATGGCGATCAGTTTCGAAGGGAATGGGTGTCGTGCCAGTTAAGGGGTCTGTTTGTAGCACCTAACTGCTCCCCTTGTGCCACGATGCACCAAGGAATACGTTACTTACGTATTTTGCGGAACATTTCCTGTAGGCCTCGATACACTTGCTTTCGCCTCTATAGACGGGAGGTCGGGAGGTAACCCACTCTCGATCAAGCAGCTCGGACTAGGTTTGTGAATAAACTCTGAGGTGAGTGGAGGAGTCGTGGTGTCCCCTGCGAGTGTGTGGCGGTGAAGGAACCATGCCACTCTTTGCTGTATCCCCTTTAGTAACTGTGGTTGATAAACACAGTAAGCTGGGCGAAGTCGGTAAGCTGGGCGAAGTCGAAGTCGGTAAATCTAGTGAAGTAGAACTTTGTAGTGATTTGTCTTGTCAGTGGTAAGCATTGTTTCGAGATGAGGGATTTATGTTAAAGAGGGAATGGGGTGTATGGTCCATACGTATGAGTGTATCGTCTGGGATTGGGAAGGAGACATCATGCAGGTGGTTTAAAATAAAGACATTCAATTGGAGACTTAAGATTCGTGTTCCAAGCACGAAACTGTGCTATCTGTTTTTGAGTAAACTTTCCCATAACTCATGGCGTGAGAAATTATGATTATCAATGTGTTTGGTAATTTTGTGTGTTTAATCATTTTGGAAGATACATTTTGCGACGTTGGCTTTTACTTGATCACTCTCTTAGGGATATGTGCGATGCAGACTTGGCAATTGGTTTTGTTTTAGTAAGACGACTTCCATTTGCCAAAGCATAGAACTATTATTGGCATTATGTGGAGAAGCATCACTTGTGCTTTGTACATATTTTTGTTATTTTTCGGGGGGGGGGGGGATCGTGGTGAGGAACGCTTATTATAGTACCAGGAGTGCCGATTGCTATTGCGAAACTAGAATAGCAATAACATTGATAGCACAATGGATAGTAGGGTTAGAAAGAACGAGTAGGGCCACTCAGAGCTAATGACAGTTGAGCTTCGGGACGGCCACGCAGTGTTGTAGAGGTTTAGTGGCTAAGGCGAGACTACTTCGACAATGCGAGGTGAAGCTTGGTTGGTTATCTGATTCTTGACATATCGTACTAGGTCTAAGTAATAATTCTATGGGTGTGAGCAGCCATATGCTGTCTCGGTGAGTCAACAATAAGATCTGTCCGCGCCGACACCTTGGCCTGCACTTGTTCTAATGGTTATAGTAACGGACCGTGAGCCAGGAAACACGCTAGAAGACGGTTTTTGGGTTCGGTGCAATGACCGTAGTGGGGTTGAATCGTGGTTTGTTGGGGAATGAGAGGGGATCGAGGTGCTTCAGAATCTGCTCACTCGCCGAGTTAGGCCACAAGAGGTTACTTTAGAATTGTGACAGAGCTCGCCTTATGAGTGGGGTAGGGCAAAGCGATATGACAGCGGGCTTTAGTTGAGCACCACGAATTGTGAGGGGCGTAACGACGTGCGCGTCGTTGTATGAAAGCGTGATTGGTGTGGCGGTGATTAAGCGTTCACGGGCGAGAGGTGGAAGCGAGTGAGGGTTAGGACCGCCGGCAAATCTCGCCGGATGGGTGTGGACATGCATAGCGCGATCTTAGAGCGAGGAAATACTTTTCATTTGGGGCACTAGGATCTTGATGTTAATCGGCGAGGAAGGACAGTTCAACGTCTTTTTTGCACGAGCAGGCTCTCCGGAACTAGAGAGCATGGGCAGGGAGAAGTGTTCGTTTTTGCAGCTCCAGCGAAGGATAGCGTGCTCAGATAACACATAAATTATTGTACATGAATCAACATGTAGATTTCTTCCCTCAGATGTGCTTGCTCCAATGAAGGTTACCTCAAATAAGAATAGTTTGGGAGCAGTGGATGTTTATGAGCTGCCGTAAAACCGACTAGCAAATAGCGTTATTATTGCTTAGGATAATTCTGAGAGCTGATTAGACGAACTTTCTTCCGCTAGGATTTATTTTGATAGGGTCTGTGTTTGCTAAACATGCGACAATGACCTCCAGCATCCCAGTATACACAGATGTTTTGGCAGACGAATGTGTATTTGCTTTGTGTTGTTCCTGTTCCGTAGGCGAGTGAACGCATACCATTTCCCGAGCTTTGAGATAATTCGAAAAATCATTTCTGACGAAAATGGCGGCGTGTTGGGAAAAGTGTTTGTATTTTTTTACTCCATGTAGTCTTTATGATTTGCACAAGAGTACATAAGTATGTTTCCTTATATTTTAGACGTTTGGAAACATATAGATTGAGGTAAAACGGTATTTTATTTTCTGAAGTATTTCTTTTTTTTGCCCAAGAAACAGTTTAAAAGAGTAAATCTCATTTTACCGCTATGACTACTGCTTATATATATTGGCAGTATCAAAAATAGTGAGTAGTTTCACAATAAAAGGGTGCATTTTACTGTGATTATTCGTTGCTTAAAGACCTTCAAAATGTAGGAAACTTGCATT